TCTAAAGCAAAGCTTGAAAATGAAATAGAGTCAACCACATCCCTTCCTTTAGGCGCGCTGCCATTTGAAGTGCTGAAGAATGAGAATGCAAACGACCTTTGATTCCTCAAGGTCAACTACATCATCTGATGGATGGACAAAACCTTTGGGTTTCAATCAGACTCCCTGGGGGTGGGGGGTGTCTCCTGAAATTGTCATGATGTCCTGTTCTTGAGGTATTAAAAAAAAAAAAAGGTATCATTGTAACCGAGGATGACTCAAATGAAGTTTCCTGTTGCATTTTTGTTTTAAAATCAACTTTTGTGTGGACCCAAGAAGAAATGAGAGTAGCACCAACTAAAACAAAACAAAAACAACAAAAAAGCAGCCTCAGTGGCACCAAGTGAGCAAAAGCTCCTTTCTCTGAGTTGAACGTGAGGGGTTACCAGTGAGAGGCGGACAGAAGCAACACCGGCACCATGGCCGGGAGGGTCAGCGAGGCCCTGTCCACCACGGGCCCAGCCAGTGCCAGATGAGGAAGGAGAACAACTCCATCCACTGCGGCTAGCAAGCACCTTTGGGACTCTCAGACACCTACTTGCACCCTGGACTGCAGGAGGAAAAGCTGTGTCCTCAGCTCCGACAAGTGCAGCAGGACGGGAGAGGCAGGAGGACACCCTCCGCCCCTTTGTCCTTTCTTCTCTAGTAGGGCCGAGAGGACCAACACAGCACCCAAGCTCCTGCCAAGCCCGAGAGGCAGGCCTGTCCCCCACCCGCAGGAAGGGAGCCGGCTGCCTTTCTTGGTCTGGCCTCTGAGGGACGAACGATCAAGCACACTGCCAGAGCAGTTACAGTATGGTAAACAGAGGTCAAAGGAGACAGCACCAAAAAGGGGAAGGGGATGGGGTGTTGGGGCGAGGGGGGAGCCGAGAGAGACTGAGCCCACCTTGTTTTTGGTTGGTTGTGGTTTCAGAGCATGGATAGCACCTCAGCAAGACAGGATCAGGGACAGTCACATTAAAACGCCATAGCACCATTTTATTTAGACGATTTTTCAATTCATAAAAATGCTTCCTAGTCCATAAAACACACGTCAGTAACAAAAAGAAAAGTACTGGTTGAGGCACATCAGGGATATCATTTTCCACCAGCACTGCCTCGATATGAGATCTGGTGGGGTGGTCGGTTCAGCTCCACCACGGCTGCTGGACTTCTCTCCAGAAAATTAGGTTATCTACTCATCATCCATCCTCACACATCTCTGTTTGAGACAAAGCAATTGAGCACCACAACTTCTTCCCTTGCCTTTTGCATTTTAAACATCCCTTGCTCTGTTTCTGAAAGAGGCTGGTGGAAGGACCAAGGAGGGGCGGGATGCAGGGAGACACCTTTTCCCGACATCTGACATCTCGGTGAGGTCACACAGGACCCACAAAGCCAGGGTGTGGAGGAAAAGGCCCTGCTTAAAAATCAAAACAACCAAGTCAAACACCCACGAATTACCTCAAAATCCATGAAATACCTTCCGCCAAGATTTCTGATAATGGTTTCTTGAGCTAGCACCAGTTATTTTGTGAGAACCTGCCGGCAAAGCATTTTTTTGTTTGTTTTTTGTTTTTTGTTTTTTTAATTTTATTTCAAAAACTCCTTAGCACAAAACTTTGCAAGCACTTCCCTTGTGCACGAAAGGGAGGGGACAACAAAACAGAAGAGGAACCAAAGGTCTGCACTGCACGTGGATGGTGTCTGTGGACGGGGGGGGAACACCGGGAGGTGACTGAGACTCCATCGTTTTCTGTTGCTATGACTCTTAAAAACTTGGTCACGCTGTTAAGGTTCTTTAGTTGCCATGGCTTTATTTTATTATTATTATTTTTTTTCTTCTCATGATAGAAATGTCTGTTAATCATCTTTAGGACTTAAAAAAATGATAGTGCCAGTAAAAAATAAAAATTTGATTTTTCTCTTTAAGAAACCTTCAGCAGCAAGGGAGGGGGATAAAGAGCTGTGCATAGTTACTTCTTTTTTTTTTTTAAATATATGTCTAAAGCATGCTAATTTTAATGACTGAGATTTGAGGTAGGTTAGACGTGTAGTGTGTAAAGATCAGCACGGGCTACAGCGCGGCAACAGCACCACCTAATTTCTGGAACACCACTTGGAGGGGGTGGGGAACGTCCAATGGAGACCGGCTCTTGACTCACCTCTCAGCAGCCTGTTTGCTAATCTAGAAATTTATGAACCAAAGGCCATGTGAGCTGGGGGAGGAGGGGGGGAGTAGGGGTGGACAGACATCACATGCTTTTAGCGTGTACTGGTTTCTCCTGTTATTATCTAATGGCTTTTCTACCAAAGGGTGACGAGGGGGAAGGGGAGGGGGAGGGGGGTCTATTAGACACAGTCACAAAATTCACACGTGCCAGCTCTCAGAATCACCTGGGTTCCACTCGGGACCTTCCGAACCAACAGCCAACCTGGGGCTTTCACGGGCCAGACAGACGTCACATTCTCCAAATGTTTCGCAAAATATTGTATTTCTTGCTTAAGATCATTTAAAATGAAGTTTTCAAGGCACCCCCGCATCTACCTAAGCACGGAGTCAAATGAGACCTGCATAAAAGTACTGATGCGATAAGCAAAATAGCATTTAAAGGACCCAACTTTCCCTCAAAACTAGAAAATTTGCATGCTCATTAAAGTCTCTGCTCCCTTTAGCTTGTCACACTGAAGGTCAGAGGTTATCCTATAAATCTGAGTTCTGAATAATTCTAAATCCTGATAAGCTCTTGGGTATTTATTTCAAAAGCAATAATATTTCATTTTTTTTTGTCCTGTAAAATAAATGCAACTTTACAGAATATGGTAAAAGTGAAGGATAGACAAAGCACGTTAAATATTCAGCTACTATTTACAATTTCTCCCACAATTACATGTTAAAACATACTTTTTTTTTTTCAAGTTGCTGTTTAAATCTAGGCAAAAGTGCTTAAAAAAATCTTTCACTATTTACAGTTAAAACCAGACCACATAAATGCTCAGGACATCTTACAGCAATTCACCGCCAGTGCCTCTGGAAGAGTCACAGTAAACACCCAGCGCGTCAGTTCTCAGCTCTTACACAAGGCACCTGGAAGCTCAGGAACTTGCCTTTAGCATCATCATCTGATTGTTAAAACTCGTTTCACGAAGACCCACCTCTGAACAAAACTGCTCAATAAATATCTGATGTTCACCTCGGGGCTTGGCTGTCCTTCCCCCTGTGGCCACACGCCCCCTGTGCATCCTTGAAGAACAGCCTCCCAATTCACCACACACATCCACGTGGGTAGGGTAGCTCAGTAAGACCTTCTGCTAACACCACAGGGAAGGGGGAAAAAAAAAAACCACTCTAAGAAGTAGGACTTTTGCTGTCGACGAACGTCACTTCCACCTGTTGGGCCCAACCTCTCTCTCAACAACGTCGCAAAAAAAAAAAAAATGAAGCACCACATTCTATTTTCGAAGAACTGAACGAATGCACCAGAATTTTTAGAACAGGTGTGTTTACGTGGGTGGAGAGGGGGAGGAAGAAGGAAAGGAGAAGATGATCAAAGAGAGAAATGGCACCAGTTAAGGGGGGGTGGGGGCGTGTGGGGGCGGAAATCATAGCTACCTGTTGAAAATGACGCTTGCATCTTAAAATTGTTACATGGAGGCCCACAGCCCCAGAAAGGATATGGTGGAGGGGGTGGGCTTGGGCGTGAGGCATGCACCATTGTCCACTGTGGAAATCCAGGAATAAGGAGAGATGCGTTCACTGCTGTTACTCGGTTGTGCTGAGCTCCTGCAGGTGCCACCTGCCCGGAGTCAGAGAAGTCCCAGCACGATACTCACTACAGCACCAGGCTCTGCACAGCGCCAGGGCTGCCGCACACAGCCACAGCCACAGCCACAGCCGGCTGGCTTTTCACAGCTTGGGTTCAACTTCTTTTTAAAGTTACAGTAGCCCTTTTTTTTTTTTTCCGGTATCAGCATAGACTTTGGGGCATTTTCAAAAAACAAAACGAAACAAAACAAAAACAAAAAACTGTCACTCAGACAAAATTCCTTCAGCCCAAGTATTCATTGGCTTTGTCAACTCAGTGGAGGCGGCTCCCAAAGAGCCTCTCCCTCCTCCCGGTCCATGGGGAGGCGCGTTGCCGGGGGAACCGTGACATCGTGTGACTCGATAAATAAACGGACAGAGAGGATTCAGTGTGGAGACTAGCAAGCTCGAAGCTGTCTACTTCCAACCTGGTTTCTGGGGACATCAACACCAGCATCTCAGGTGCCTGGCCTGGGGCGCACCTGCCCCCCCTCACCCCCCGCCACCTCCCTGACTCCAAGCCAGCGCTGGCAAAGGGACCCCAGATGTCCTCGGACAGACGCTCCCATTCTGGAGAGGACATGAGCTGTCCTGAGGGCTCCCCTCCCTGAAGGGGAAGGCGGGTCAGCGAGGAAGAGGGACTGACCAGACGTTTATAACGTGCCCACGAGGGACGGACGGACGGTGGCGGGGACGGCTGTGAAAACCTCGTCAGCTCCCAAGCAGGCCAGCTGGAAAGGCCCGGCGCGATGGATGGGGCAGGAGCAGGCACCTCCGGCCCTTCCCGCCGATCCTTTTCCATTACTATTGTCGCTTAAAAAAAAAAAAAATTCCAAAAGAAAAAAAAAAAGAAAAAAAGAAAAACAAACAAAACCCCCAATAAATACACATTTTTAAATGGAATTTAAAACTACTCCTTTGTGAAAGGACACTATAAACTTTTCTTTCCATTATTGTGATATACAAGGATAGAGTTTTTAAAAACAAGAGAAAATAAAATCCTCTCCCTCCCCGGCCCCCCGCCTCCCCAAGAACAAGGAGGTGGGGTGAGGACCCCGATGTGGAGATATAAATATTAAGATCACAAGAAAAATCACCCGACAGCCGTAGTTTCTTCTTCAAAGTGCTGGGGGGGGGGATGGGGAGAAAGGAGTGGGGGGAGGTCTTGGGGGGAGGGGGGGCGGGTCAGTTCTGAGGTTTGGACCATAAATACATATATATGCTTATCTATATATGTAGATATAGATGAAGAGACTTCTGCACCCCCAACCCGCCCCCAGGTGTGAGGGCAAAAGCACCACAGAGCAGCTCGGGCCGGGCCCGACACTGAGGTACGCTGGCTCCCAGGCACCTAGATCCAGCGGCTGTAGGGGCCGGTGACCTTCGTATAGGCGTAGGAGGACACGGTGACCGCCGAGTCCGTGGGCACGGCCAGCGCCTGCCGCGTGGGCACCACCCCCTTCTTCTCCTTCTGCTGGGGCTCGCCCACCACGGCGCCACCCCACTTGCGCTTCTTGCCGTAGAGCTTGGCCTCCTGCTGGCCCAGGCCTAGGCGGGCCGCCTCCTCCTGCCGGGCCCGTGCCCGCTCCGCCAGCTGCTTCATCTTGGCCTCCCAGAGCGCCAGCCCGTGGTTGGGCTGGTTGAGGTTCTTGTGTTGGTAGAAGACCAGCGAGATGCGGGTGGGGTGGCAGCGGTTGGGCTTCTTGAGGGGTGTGGTGGCGTGCAGCTCCCGGCGGGCGCACTCGATGAGGATGGAGCCATGGGCCGGCGCCACCGCCACGCCGCCGATGTTCTCGTCCAGGAAGTTGTGTTCGCTGTCGGACCACAGCTCCTCTTCCTCCTCCTCTGCCCCGACGCCCCCCGCGTCCTTCTCCTCCTTCACCACCACCCCCTTGGTGGCGGGGGGCTCCTCGGCCGTGCCCTCCTCCAGGCTGAAGGGGTCCCACAGCTTCTCCTCGGACTTCAGGGCCCCGAACAGCTTGTCACCGGAGCCCAGGGGCATGCCGAAGGACTGCCAGGCTTTGTCCAGCTGGCTCGCCCCCGGCGTTGGAATCCGGCCCTCCTCGCCTTTCAGGGGGCTCCACAACTTGTCTTGGAACCCGGGACCGCCTTTCAGGGTGGCATTGAAGTCCCCTGCTCCTACCCCCCATGGCTTCTCCGTTAGATTGGGCCCTGCCAAGGCCGAGGTGCTGTTGCCAAACTTGCAAGGGCTCCACGCTTTGCCTCGCAGCCGCCCTCCGGCCTGGGCAGGTGGCTGCTGCCCCTCGCTGGGGAAGAGCCCCCACTGGCCATCTGCGAAGTGGGAGGGGGTCAGGCAGCTGGACCCAAAAGAACCGAGCTTCTCCGGGACGAGAGCCGAGCTCTCCCCGGAAGGGAAAACCCCCCAGCTGCCACTCACACTGTTAGTCCTTTTCGGGGACATGCTTGGTCCTCCTGAGTACTGTCCCCACAAGTGATTGGGTCCCCCGTTCTGGGAGGCCTCGGGCAAAGGCGTCTTGCCCATCTTTGCCGTGTCTCTGGGTGAAGGTTCGGCCTGGACCACGGGGTCCACTGGCTCTTGCTTGATGGATCTGTTGTAGCAGTTGGAGCTCTGCGCAAAGGGAGAGGGGTCCCTGGACGCTGGGTGGATCGAGGGGACCTTGGGAAGCAGGTACTCCTTGGGGCCTGGATAAGCAGGCTGCTGGTGGTGAGGAGTCGGGGGGTGGGTGTCTGTGGAAACAGCCTGGCCCGGCAGCTCGGCAAACTCAGCACCACCGTAGGCCGGGCTCAGGCTGTTGTGCAGAGCATGGAGGTCTGGCTTCTTCTCGAAACTGCCACTGCTGCCCCCGTGGCCCCAGGCCCCGGGCCCCAGGAACTGGGAGGGGAACACGGGGTTGCTGGAGGGAAAGCCGTAGTAGCCAAAGGACGGAAGTGCGTACTTGGAGTGGAAGCCGTTGACAGGCAGGCCAGGCTGTGCATAGTAGGAGTGATAGGAGTACACGCTGTTCATGCTGTAGGGGTCGGAGGGCCGGCAGTTGCCCAGCACCGAGTAGCTCTCCACCACCGCGTTGCCATTGTACTTGAAGGAGCTGAAGTGGTTTTGTGGCTCCACCTTGAGGGCCGGCTTCAAGCTTTGCTGGGACAATCCACCCTTGAGAGCCAGGCCTGGGAAAACAGGAGGGAGAGGAGTGAACCACGGTTGGCCAAGGTCTCCGGGCAGGAGGATGGTGATGGGGGTCGTCTCCTTTACCCAAGGAAAAGTGTCTGGTTGGATCCTCAGGAGAGGCAGCTCGGAGTCAAGGACACCTCCGTGCATATCTTTGCTGAATCAGCCTGCGAGGTACTGCCTGCCTCCTGCTCATGGATCACTCATGGGTCTTTATAAAGGCTTGGCCATGAGAGCTGTGCCATGCCCACCCATTCTGGCATCCTTGTTGCCCAACCCCCTCAAATGCCTGAAAAAGCCATGGCACCTCCCAGGCGAGCACAGAGCATGGGCCCATCGGGGAGAAGCCTAGCTCCTCATCACCAACCCAGCCCAGGGCTCTCAGTATCTGGGCAATGATACAAAACCAGAGGTTAACCAGATGGCTAAGAGGCCCTGGGATGTCTCTGTCTAGAATTTGTTCACAAAACAGGAAGGAGGGGCCAGGGTGATGGCACAGTGGGTAGGACGCTTGCCTTGCACATGCCTGACTTCGGTTTGGTATCCGGCATCCCATATGGTCCCCTGGGCACTGCCGCTGGGAGTTATTCTTGAGCACAGGGCCAGGAGTAAAGCCTGAACATCACCAGGTGTGGCCTGCCCCCACCACCACCCAAAAAAAAAAAAAATTAAAAACCTAGGCAGGAGTAGGAGGGGGGCTGTCTGTCCAGGGTCACCCAGCTTCAGGAAGGGGCCCCTTCCCGGCACATACCTGGGTCAGTAGGGACGCTGGCCAGCTCCAGGGCCTCCTGCTTGATCTTCTCGGGAGTGCTCAGCTTCTCCTTCTGAATCTTCTTCTTCTCGGCTGCCGCCTTTCTGGCTTCCAGCTGCCGCTGGCGGCATGACTTGGCCGGCTCGGGCAGGCGCCGGACCTCCCGGGGGAAGGCGGTGAGCACCTGGATGGCCCCGCTGCCCACCTTGGCATTCTGGTTCTCCTCGCTGCCGAACTCATCCGTGCTGGCCATCTTGTACAGGGGGAGCACGTGCAGCTGCTCATCCTCGGGGATCTTGCCCACACAGCGATTGTCTTCCTTGGTCAGGGTGCAGACCTGCCCCAAAAAGAGAGAGGGGAGTGCGTGGGGGGCGGGATGCTGAGCTTGGGTCCTCTGCCTTCTGCATACGGGCCCCCACATCAACACCTCGAAGCCCAAGGGTCCCTCCTGACTTCCTGGAGCATCTGGATAGTACATCATTCACATTTGGTGCCAGCTTGGGCAAACACCTCCTACTCTCTTTATTTTTTAAATTTTCTTAATTTTGTTTTCTTTTTGGGTCACACCCGGCAACGTACAGGGGTTACTCCTGGCTCTACACTCAGGGATTACTCCTGGGAGTGCTCGGGGGACCATATGGGATGCTGGGAATCGAACCCAGGTCGGCCACATGCAAGGCAAACGCCCTCCCCGCTGTGCTATTGCTCCAGCCCCACACCTACTACTCTCACTGCTGCCACGAGGGGATGAGAGCACGGGCCCAGGGTCCCTCATGGCTCAGGCTGGCTTGGGACGGGGTGGAGAGAGGCCTCCACAGAGCACAGTGCGTGGCACCCAACAGAACACCATAGCCCATGGGCAGCTCCCCCGCCATCGCCACCCTCCTGTTCTGAACACTTAGCCTCCATTTGCTGCTAAACATGTTTCCTCTTTATTAAAACTCTATGTGCCCGTTGCAAAGAACCTAGCCCAGCAAAAAAGGGGAAAAAATTACCTCCATAAATCCACCACCCAAAAATGATTACAGTGAACACTCTGCGCGCACACATACACACACCCTTACTCTTTGCTAATTAACTAGGATCATATTATACATTCAGTTTCATAACGACTTCACTTCTTTAACATACTATGAATATTTTCTTATGCACTAAATATTTTCTTGTGATTAAAAAGCTACATATTATTTTATTCTAAGAATGTTAATTAATTTAGCTAATTCCTCAATATTATTACCGTTTACACTTGTTTCCAATTTTTCTTTTAAACAGTACTATTATCCCTATATTATAGCTACAGTTTCTAATATACTTAACTCTTTAGAATAAACAGTGAAGCAGAATTGTAATATCCTACCAAACTCCCTTCCAACACCATTACATTTTCACTCATAATTGGCAGAATGGGAAAGCTTATTTTTCTGTACTTTTGCCAATACTTTTATCATTAATTTCTTAATCTTTTTTTTTTTTTGCTCATTATCATTGTTGAGCATACATCCTCTGACCACTAATGAGGTTCAGTTTTTTTTTTTCAGGTTTAGAAAATAAGTTTGTACTAACTTTTTCCCCTTCATCTCCTTCTTTCTAACCCAGCAGTACTTGGGTTGGAGGTCACTCCCGGAGGTACTCAGGGATTGAGCAAGGGCTTCTACGGGTAAAAGATGTGCTCCGTTTCCTCAGGCCTGACTGAGTTTCCTTCTATTGTATATTCTTGATACTCCGGGATTTGAAGCCTCGATCCTGACGGGACCATCTTCCCCAGAACAAGCTAATTCCTACAGAGAGTAAATCTCACACCTTCCAAAATAACTGTCCAATCCATAACTCACACCCAGTCATCTCTTTTATCCAGTTCTCATACAACAATCTTTCTCCTGCTGTAAGTCACCCCAGGGTTAGGCAGGGAGTTTGTTTTGGGGCCCACACCTGGTGATGCTTAGTTCTTTGCTCAGGAATCACTTCTGGCGGGGCTCAGGGGACTAGAAGGGGTGCCAGAGATTGAACCTGGGTCTGCTGTGTGCAAGGCAAACACCTGACCAGGTGTACTATGTCCTAGACCATATCCAACTCAGCTAATAGCTTTGACTTGCCCATCTCTTCTCTTCTCCTTCTCTCTCTCTCTCTCTCTCTCTCTCTCTCTCTGGTTTCGGTGTCATACCTGGTGGTGCTCTGGGCTTACTCCTGGCTCTGTGCTCAGGGATCCCCCTGGCAGGCTTGGGAGACCATATGGGGTGCTGGGGATCAAACCCGGGTCTGCTACATGCAAGGCAATTGCCCAACCCATTGTATATTGCTCAGCCCCCTAACCCATCTCTTCTTATGAAATTCCCAATAAAGATTCTGGGATTCTCTGCTCCCTTTCCCTCTCCAATTCTGACCATCCGTGCTCCCCAGCATCTGTGACTATCCCTTCATTTCTGACAGCCTTTTCTTCAATTAAACAAAGCCCAGTGATATTTAAGCACTGCTTTCTTCTCTTTTGTTGGGTACATTTTGCTCTTTTGCACATTTCTCTGCTAGTATTTCTTTAATCATCAGAAAGCAAGTGATCAAAAACCTTTGCATATTAAGGTTTAAATTTGTTAAGCAATACTGCTTTCTAGATTGTATTGGATTTTCTTTTCTTTTTTCTTTTTTAAATTTATTGGCTTTTGAGGTTATACCCAGCGATGCTCTGGGGTTACTCCAGGCGGTGCTCAGGGGACCATATCGGGTGCTGGGGATCAAACCTGGGGACAAGGCAAATGCCCTACCTGCTGAACTATCACTCCAGCCCCAGGTTTTTTTCATTTTGACTATGGCGTTTTAACAGAAACTCTACATTCTCAGGGAATTAACTGCAGGAAGTCTGTCATTTCTAGTTTCTCTTTGGGTGTTACTTCTACTGAGAGGATCCTTCCCAGAGTGCACACGGGTCTTACTCTGATTCAATCCTTGCTTAGTGTAGGGGTTCAACTACATAGGTCCATCAGCCCTGGTGCTTGTCATCTCAAAAACCCAATATAAACAGAGGAAAAGCCAAAAGCAAAGGATGAAAGGTGATAGATGTGTTTCTACTCCTAACTTCTAGAGACACCTTACCCATGTTAACAGATATACTTACCCCACTTAAAAATTAATAATGATGAATAAAGAACATCAGTTGGGGACTGACAAAAGGTGAAGTTTACATGGGCCAGAAAAACAGGAGAACTTCAACCTCTCTAGTAATGAAAGAAACATCAATTCAAAGGAGAATCTAGGTTTGTCACTCAGGCAAAAAGACTAAAAACGATGAAGAAAATGCAGTGCAGATGTGGAAAGGGGGGAGGTGTCAAGAAGCTGGGTGGCAAAAGGAGAAAGAGGGAATGTGCTTGCCTCAGAGGCAGGAGGTGGGAAGGGGTGGGGGTGGTGGGAGGGATACTGGGAACATTGGTGGTGGAGAATGGGCACTGGTGGAGGGATGGTGCTCTATCAGTGTGTGACTGAAACATAATCATGAAAGTTTGTAAGTCTGTAACTGTATCTCACGGTGATACAATAATAAAAAAAAAAGAAGCTGGGTGGTAGGTAGCATAATGGAACCTAACTCAGTCGTGAGAAATGGCAAAATCCTACCTTCTGCTCCAACATGGATGGAACTAGAGGGGGTCATGTTAAGTGAAGCGAGAGGGAGAAGGAAAATGGTTTATCAAGAGACAAAGGGAATGGACAATGGAGAGGGAAAAGAAAACTTTGGACTCTTACAATGAAAGTGAGGTACTGGGGCTGGAGTGTTAGCACAGAGGGTAGGGCATTTGCCTTGCACGCAGCTGACCTGGGTTCGACTCCCAGCATCCCATATGGTCCCCCAAGCACAGCCAGGAGTAATTCCTGAGTGCATGAACCAGGAGCAACCCCTGTGCATCACTGGGTATGACCCAAAAAGCAAACAACAACAACAAAAAACAAGTGAGGTACTGGGTGACAGCGGTGGGGATGGGATGGTGGGGGAGATGTGTGTGGGGGGGGGAGCAGCTGGGTCTGGCAACAGTATCACTATTGTAAACTATATGTATCTAATGTGGCTGTGATGGAGAATCCCGTGTGGTCAGGAGAGAGTAAGCACTTCCGGCCTCCCTGGCTTCACCTGGGACGTCAGGGATCCCAGACACTACAGGGTGTGCAGACAGTGAGCAGGGAGAAGACAGGAAAGTGCTGTCTGCAACAGAGCACAGGCCAAAGCCACGTATGAAAGCCAGAACCGGCTGAAAAAAACTTACAGCCTCACAAAGAGCTGTCCACCAGACCTCCTTGAGTTAAGAAAAGCAGGTCAGGGCCTGGAGCTACAGGACAGTGGATAGGGCACCTGCCTTGCACATAGCCGACCCAGGTTCAATCCCTGGCATCCTACTTGGTCCCTCGAGCAGCACTAGGAGTAATTCCAGAGCCCAGAGCCAGGTATAACCTCCCTCTTCCCAACACATACACACATGCACACACAAAGTAGGTCAGCAGACAGCATGTACTAAAACGTGTCCACACTGCTGTAAAATGTACAGAGCTGCCCACACACATGCGCGCACACACAGCTGTGAGAGTCCATTGTCTGCAGGGGCAGGTTTCAGAACGCAAACGATGCTGTGATTCCAAGGAGAACTCTCGGCCAGCTTCTTAGGTAGTTTCCCCACCAGGAATAGTCACTGACTTACAAGAAACAAAAGTGTACCCATTTTGGAAAACAAAACAAAAACAAAAACAAAAATACTACTTATTTCATTCCACACTTTAGCAGTTCTAGGACCCAGATCACCTCTGGGTGCCTCGAGTGTCCCATCTCTCAGGGTCTATCCTCGGGCCTTGCTCTCACCTTGCTCAGCCCATCTCCCCTTTCCGTCTCCCTGCTGGAAACCTTCACAAAGGCCGTGGGCAGGCGCCTGCCCACCTCAGTCCCGGTCATGGCAACGGGAAGGGGCCGGCGTGAGCAATAAATCCCAGGGTCAGGGTTCAAGCTGCAGGGACAGGCATGAGCCCTCCACACGCCAAAGCCTCCTCTCCAGGGGCATGTGCCATCCTGGGAGATGATGCCTGGTGCCCTCACCCCCCACATCCATCAGGACCTCCACCCCCACCCAGCCCTCTACACTGTCCCCTGGCTCCACCCACTCCAGGTTTCTCCAGTGCCACCTCTGGCCTTGCCACTCTGTCACTGCATGTGGAACAGGCTTCTTGGAGTGGCAGGCAAAACAGGGGAGTTTCACCCCCAAACTCACCTTCCCCTGTCATTCTACATCTCAGCCCGATGCTCACCTTCTCCCAGTTGCTCAGACTGTGAACCTTGGCTTGGTGCTCAAGGCCTCCCTCTCTCAACACCCCACACCCCATCTGCCCACTGAGAATAGGTGGACATTGAAAAGTATCCGAAATTCATCCCCACCCTCACTCCTGTCCTACCTTCCTCCTACCTTCAGTTTTCTTTCACTTACCCACGCTCCCAGCCACACTCTCTCATCAGAGAGACAGACTGACAGACAGATAGAGAGCTGCTAACCAGGTGTCCCCGGCAGGCTCCCTGCTCTTCTCTCCGACCCCCGCCCCGCTTTCCTGCTGCTTCTCAAACACACCCAGCGGCCCCCTCCCCCGAGCCTTTGCCTCTGCTGGTCCTTCTGCCTGCAGCAACTGTCCCCAGACCTCAGGTCCCCGCTTTGTCATCCGTGACTCAGCCCAGGTGGGCCCTCTAGCCACGTCACCCACAACAGCACTTACCGTGGCTCTCTCCTTTGCCCTGACTGCACTCACGGCTAGCAGACAGGAACACACTTGAAGCTGCCACGGCAATGTGCGCTAGTTAAACCACATCTGAGTGTGAGCCACTGGTGGTCTGGGCCTGCATCAGCCTTACAACACACACTCGTGGGCAGAATTTTGTTGCGTGTTTCCCAGAATCTACAGCAATACCTAAGGCACTATCAACATAGGATCAACCAAAAAAATCAGAAGGGTGAGGGGGTCATAACGATAGTACAATGGGGAGGGTGTTTGCCTTGCACAGAGCCAACCCAGGCTTGATTCCTAGCGTCCCATATGGTCCCCTGAGCACTGCTAAGAGTAATTCCTGAGTGCAGAGCCAGGGGTAACCCCTGAGCAATGTCAGGCGTGGCCCAAAAACAAAAAGCAAAGCAAATAAACAAAATCAGAAGGGTGTTTGGATTTAAGTGCAAAGGTTCCAAAAGAGCAGAAACTACACTGTGGAAATACTGGGGGTGGGGGCAGAAAGGGGGCACACTCCAGATGCCCAAGGAGACATATTCTGCAGCATCCACTTAGGGCAGAGAAACAAGGCCAGGCAAGCCTGGTCCACACATTCAGTGACATTTTCTAAGAAGTGGCCGGGAGCAGAGTGTGGCATGGTCCCCAGCCTTCCGAGAAGCCCACCTCAGCCCCTTCCAACTCCGAGACAGACCTCTGAACGCCCCCAGCAACACAGACCAGGAGAACACCCCCGAGTTTCCTTACCACTGTGCACCCATTGTAGAGGTTGTGCTGGTCCTTGTGGGCATGGGCACAGAAGTCCATGCAGGCTGTGACCCCCGAGAAGGGTCTCCCTTCCTTCAGTCCCAGGCGGCAGTCAATTGCAATTTCCTCATTGGTCACCTGCATGGATGCCAAGGAGAGCGGCAGGTGAGATGTAACAGTCCTGATTCTGGACCAGGGGCCTGAGTCTTGGGCAGAGTTCAAGATCAAACACAGGCTTCCTGAACTTGGGGTGCCAGTGTTCCCAGCCAAGGCACCCCAAGAACAACTTCCTTCTGGGCAGTTTCCTGTCTGTCCACCTTATCTGGGAGACCCAGCGGGCAGCGGACCAGGGAGGTAGGGGACTGGCAGGGAGGGGGGAGTGACGAGCAGGGATCGGAGACAGGGGCTGTAGGAAAGGGTATACCTGATGGCCTCTTGGTATCTGATTGTAAACCAGAATGCCCAAAAGGAGTGGGGGAGGGAAGGGGGGAGGGAGGAAAGGGAGAGGAAGGGAGGGAGAAAGAAGAAAAGTGCCTGCCATAGAGACAGGTTGGGGAGAAGGGCCCGGGAGGGTAACTGGGTCCATTGGTGGTGGGAAATGTACACTGGCGAAGGGACAGATGTTAGAACATTGTGTGATTGAAAACCAATCACGATCAACTTTGTAACTGTGTATCTCATGGTAATTCAATTTAAAAAAGAAGAAGTAGAAGAAGATAGGTGCAAGAATAAGAAAAGTTTGGGCCGGAGAGATAGTACAGTGGGTAAGGCCTTGTATGCAGCCAACCCGGGTTTAATCCCTAGCACCCCATATAGTGTCTCCCCATTAAGCTTACCAGGGGTCACCCCTGAGTGCAGAGCCAGGAGTAACCCCTGAGCACTGCCCAGTATGGTCCCCAAACAAAACAAAACAACAACAAGTAAGGAAGGGTTATTGTGGAGGGGAGAGTAGGAGAGGAAGAGGTGCTTGGAGCCACACCCAGCAGTGCTCAGGGCTTGCTCCTGGCTCTGGAATCACTCCTGGCAGTGCTCGAGGACCATATGTGGTACCAGTGATTCAACAGAGAGACTGGCTGCTCTCAGGACAAGCACCTCCCCCGTCCCCTATACTCTCTCTGAGACCCCCCGAAAAGGGGCTTGTATCAGAGACCATGAGTGCTCTCAGGAGCCCACTGTCCCGTCTTACAGAGAGGGAGGCCCAGGACACGGTACCTGGTTCTGGTAGGCCTGGGGGGCCAGCCGCTTGTAGAGGGGAGCGACCTCGGTGGCCAGGTCCTGGAAACTCTTCCGGAGTACTTCTTCCTGGAAAGAAGGGAGAGAGAAGCGGTTACCCGGCAGCCCGCCCTCGCAGGGGCTGGGGCAGGAGCGAGTCTGGAGTAAGGGCGGAGAGGTCAGAAAGGCCTGTGCTCTCTTGGCCTTTGTAATTCTGACAGGAGAACTCCCCTCCCGGGGGCCTTCACAGCAATGCACCTGTGTCTTGCAAGCCTGAGGTTGGGAGTTCAATCCCAGGGCGATGGAGGGAAGGGGAAGAAGACGAGGGTCAGGCCTGAAGCTCCTGGTTCCTACACTTCGAGCCCAGGATGCAGGGGCCCTACAGATGGGAAGAGGCTTTGGGTCTCCAGGCTGGGTTATGCAGGCATCACCCCAGTCACCAGGACCTGGCTAGGCTTGGAGTCTATCCCCAGGAGGAGACAGTGAGGGTCCACACGTGAGACAACGTATAGAGACACAGGCACACCCAGCACCAGGATGACAAGAGGTGCCTCAGAAAGTCCTGTAGAGGCCTCAAGGGACCAAGGCCAGAGCTTACTCTTCCTGCTACAGCTTCCACAGCCAGTAAGATGTCTCATGAGGCCTGAGGGGAAGAGAGGCCCTGAGACAGCCCAGTGGCAATGCACCTGCCTCGCCAGCCTGAGGCGGAGAGTTCGATCCCCAGCACCACCCCTACATGCCTGGGATTCTGGCACCACAACAAAATTAAGTATGCAAGGCTGAAGCGAGAGTACAGAGCACTTGACTTGCGTGCGGCCAACCCCTAGTTAGAATCTGATCCTTCCCCTCCAGGCACCGCCATCAGGAGGGATTCCTGAGCACTGAGTCAGGAATAAGCCCAGTGTGACCCCCATACAAAACAAAATGAAAATAAAAACGGGGTGAGGTCTCAGTGCCATGACCACCACGTGCGTGTGAACATCACAACTAAAGTGTGCTGTGAGGGGCCAGAGTGACAGCACAGCGGGTAGGGCGTTCGCCTTGCACATGGCTGACCTGGGTTTGATTCCCAGCAGCCCATATGGTCCCCCGAGCACCACCAGCTGTAATTCCTGAGTGCAGAGCCAGGAGTAATCCCTGTGCATCGCTGGGGGTGACCCAAAAAGCCAATAAATAAATAAAGTGTGCTGTGAACTGCACAACCAAGATCCTGCAGCCTACGGTCATGACAGTCCCCAAAGTGGGGAGAGTAGGAGAGGAGGGGCAAACTAAAGACTGGAGGGAAAGAAAAGATCCTCAAGAGGGGTCAAAGTTGGGGTCAGCGAGATAGTACAGTGGGGCAAGATGCTTGCCTGACCCAAGTTTAATCCCCAGCACCACATACAGTCCCTGGAGCCTTGCCAGGAAGAAGCCCTGAGTACCACCAGGTGTGGCTCAAAAACCAAAACCAAACCAATAAACCAAAAAAGAGAAAGAGAGAGAGAGAGAGAGAGAGAAATTTCTTTTCCTTTAGATGTTTGGGCTATATCTGGCGGTGCTCAGGGAACGAGAGGATGCCAGGGATCAAACCCAGGCTGGCCGCATGAAAGGCCAACATCCTACCGCTGTACCATCAATCCAGCCCTAAATTCTGATGAGGAGCTGGGGAGGCAGTGGGGTAGGGACGTGGGGAGGCGGGGAGTGTGTGTGTGCTGTGTCACTCCCATGGATCTCGGGACTCCCGGTACATTGCTCAGGGGTTGCCCCTCCAGTGCTGTTGGGACCATGTGGTGTGGAGATCAAACTAGGTCTCCCAGCCTTCAAAATACTGGTGAGGAAAAAAAATTTTTTTTTGGTCCCACCTGGCGATGTTCAGGAGTAACTCCTGGCTCTGTACTCAGAAATTACTCTGGCAGTGCTCAAGGGACCTTGTGGGCTGGCCGGGATCAAACCCAGGCCAGATGAATACAATGCCCTCCTTGCTCTCCTATCTCTCCAGCCCCCAAACACCCTACGTGCTGCATTATCTCTAGCCCCCAAATAATGCCCTGCCCACTGTATTATCTCTCCAGCGCCATCAATGAGGAATGTGAATTTTAACCTCAAAGGTACTCTTTCCAACTGGGAGAACCGAAGCTACCTGCAACTGATTAACCTTCCAGACCTCCAACTGATTAACCTTCCAGACCTCACACCCGTTCACTCGTACACCTCCACCCCCCTCCATAGCGAGGACAGTGACAAGCTCAGGGCAGGCCACAGACCACTTTCTGCACACCCACGTCGGGGTGGGCCAATCCCGCCTGGCCCCACCCCCCACTGCTCGGTGAACAGGAGGGCCCTGTTTCTTCCTTTGAGCTCTGCTCACCTCTTTGGGGTTGTCCCCTGTGAGGCGGAACTTGCGGGGGGTCTTGCTTCGAGCATATTTGCAGCCGTTGAAGTACATGCTCCAGGAGCAGCCGAAGGAGAAGGAGGCACCGCAGGTGTTGGGGTCTTTGCCTTGGCAAGCGCAGGTCCGGCTGCAACACACAGGCCACGTCAGACACGTGGACGCAATGTTCCTGCCATCTGGAGACGGCTTCCAGGGCAGCCCTCGGAGCGACTGGGGTATCCCTCCCAGTCCTCTCCCCCTTCCTCAGACATCCCTGGGCAGAGAGGAAAGTGCCCAGTCCTGAAATGCCTGCTCCGTTCCCATCCCCAAGCCTGAACATCCGACTGAGAGTCTGCTCTGGGGAGGGCCTATGGGTTGCTAGAGTGCAATGGGGAAGAACCCAGGGCCAGGAGACAGCTCGCCATGCAAAGGGGATGCTTGGCAGGCAGAAACCCCAAGTTTCATCCCTGGCACCCCCTGATCCCAAGCACTGCCAGGAGAAACCAACCTGGCCCAGGGCTGGGTGCAGCCCCTGATCTGTGTTGCATGCAGCCTCCTAACAACATCTAGTTGGAAATCCACTAAGGATTGTGCTGTGCCTTAACGCTAATGTCTTTATCACTCAGATGTGGAGTCCACACGCAAGGAAAGAAGGCAAGCCACAGGGCTGGAGCACGTCCACTTCCTGTCGGCCCAGGTGCGGACAGAACTTTAAGCAAATAAACATTGATATTAAAACTCAGTGGTCAGGCCAGCACGGCGCAGCACCAGTGGCTCACACCTGAATGTGGCTGAATTAACACAAGGTGCAGTGCTGGCATCAACGCATTAATAAACTCTGGAAACGTCCCAAATGCTATTGGCGAATAAACAAACTTTGACACATGCAATAGGTGAAGAGTGACAATGGAGCAGGTAGAAGGGAGGAATTGAGGTGCTCGGGAGAGGACCCAGAAGCTGGGTCCTCAGGGAAGAGCCAGACACAGAGCGTGTTTCCACTTATATGATGCTCGTGCAAAGGAATAGGAACAGGAAGCCCGGCTGGTGCTTGCTGCGGACTGGGGGATGGGGGAAGACGAGGCTGGTGGGGATGGTGAATAAAGGGACAAGAGAACATATGGGGGGATGATGGAACTGTTCTCTCTCGAGTGGTGACAGCTATAGAACCGCAAACATGTGAAACTCGTCACACTATAGACCTTAAAAGGATGAATTTTCAGAAAGAACAGAATCCTGCCCTTCGCAGTAACATGGATGGAACTAGAGGGCGTCAGACTTAGTGAAGTCAGAAGGAAAGGGACAGATACAGAATGATCTTCCTCATCTGGGGGAACGTTCAGATACACAGAGAGGCAGCAACAGAGACCCAAAGGCAGCAGAACGGGGCACTGACACACACAATTGAATTGGGGGCGGGTAGGGGCGCGAGTGAGAAGTGAGGTGGGTGAGAGGAAGGGGAGATGGCTACACTGGTGATGGGTATGGTGTTGAAATTATGTCCATGACAAATTATTAATAATGTTAATAGTATTATAAGCCAGAAATAAATGTCAAAAAAAACCCCTGCATTGTTTACCTTTTGAAAAAAATTTCAAAGGGTACATTTTAATTTCAAGGACATAGGTATTTCTTTTTTCGTGGGGGAAAACCTCCTGGGAACACCACTGCACTGTTGACATGAACTTGGGCATCTGTTGAGCACGGCTGAGCATCTCACAGAAAGATGCTCTGTCCTTGAGAGGCACTCAGGCTTTCCCATGCTGGCTCCCATCATTAGAACTCACGGCTGATCTGGTCCCAACAAAGCAAAGCCCAGCCAAGTCGATGGCCCGTTGTAGGCTGGTGGGAGCGCTGGAGAAGCTGCCTGTCCCACTATGGCTCTCTCACTCTCCAACAGGACAGTGGCGGGGGGGGGGGGGGGGACTGGACGGGTTGAGTATCTTCCCTGGGGTTGTTCAGAGCGCCCTATTTCTGCCCAGGGACCCGCTACTACCCCTCCCCCCCGTCCACAGAGACCCCACCACGTACTCATCGTTGAGGCCACATCTCCTGCTGGTGGGGTTCCCATACTTCCGGAGGGTGTCGGTGAGCTCCTGGTAGAGGGTGTCCCCGAGGCTGCGGGGAATGCCCTCCCAGGCCAGGATGAGGATGACGATGACAGCGTTCTGGCAGTGGTGGCCTGCCCGGTGCCTCACCAGGCAGAGCAGCTTCTCCTCCAGTGTGTGCCTACGAATCACCTGCAGGAAGGGGAGAGCAAGAGGGGTGAGGAGGGCTGCTGGGATGCTTAGGACCAGGTGCCTCACCCTGCTCCTGGGCACAGATGCCACATGCCCCTCAGCACTGCCACACAGACCTGGGCGTGCAATTCTGCAGGGACGTTTCCTGTGGTATCACCACCACACAGGCTAAGAGACAGTTAACAGGAGGAAAAAGCAGGGGGAAATGCAAATTGATTTTTCTAGGGCAAAATTTAAAACAGCAACAACATCTAATCTATCAATCATTTACATAGAAATAAGGAGTAATCAATATATAGATAAGAGTCGGCCAGAGGCTTGGAAATAGTACAGGAGTTAGGGCACGCGCCGATTATGCACCTGGCCCAGGTTCAACTCCTACTACCATGGGGGCCCCTAAGCATCACCAGATGCAGCTATGGAGGCCCCCAGGGATCCCCAGCACCTCAGGGTCCAAGCACATCAGCATCCTCAAGCTCTTGCATTGAACCACCATCCTAGTGGGCCAAGAATAGCTGGTGGGGTCCCCAGAGCTCCCAAGCACCACATGGGAGGGCAGAAAGAAAGAAAGAAAGAAAGAAAGAAAGAAAGAAAGAAAGAAAGGGAAGGAGAAGGAAGGAAGGAGAGAGAGAAAGAAAGAAAGAACAAAAGAGAGAAAGAGAGAGAAAAAGAGAGAGAAAAGGAAGAAAGGAAGGAGGAAATAAAGAGAGAAAAGAAAAAGAGAAAGAGAGAAAAGAAAGGAAGAGAAGAAGGAATGAAAGAAAGAAAGAGAGAAAAGGAAGAAGGAAAGAAAGAGAGAGAGAAAGAGAGAAAGAAAGAAAGAGAGAGAGAGAGAGAGAGAAAGAAAGAAAGAAAGAAAGAAAGAAAGAAAGAAAGAAAGAAAGAAGAGGCTAAAGCATCCTTGGAGCTTTTTCACACAATTGCAGAGAGGATGATGCACACATCTGTTTCTGATTAAGAGGGGGCATCAGTGTGATGGGAAAGTTTTGAGCAGCTCCTTAAAAAACTAAACAGATGCCCAGGATACTCTAGTGCAAGGACATCTACCCGTGGATGCAGAGAGCAGAAGGGCTCAGAGACACGTCGGCCAGTGTCCACTGCAACATTATTTGCCACAGCCAAGAGGGGGCAACAAACCCAGGGCCAATCAACTGCTCAGTGAATAAACAAATGCCGACGGCCTTACAATGACTCATTATTCAGTCTTAACATGGAATAAAATTATGACCTATTTGTCACATGGATAAACTCTGAGAATATGATGCTGAGTGAAGCAAGCCAGATGCTGAGCTGCAGCAACTTCAGAGGGACAGAGAGTCCATGGGGGTATCAGGGCCTGAGGGGGAGGAGGGAACGGAGAAAACGTAACTTAGTGGGAACAGAGTTTCAGTACCAATGGGAGGATGAGAAAGTTTTTAAAATACATTATGTCAATGACTGTAAAAAAAAAATGGAATATAGTAGAAACCTCTGGTATGCACATTTAAAAATGGCTAAAATGGCAAGTTTCATGTTGTGCACATTTTAACACAATTCTAACAAAGCAACAGTGTTCTCTAGGCCCACCCCCTCCCTGAACCATCGGATCATATAACTTTAAATGGGTGAATTGTCTGTTATGAATTATACCACAACACGGCTAGTGAAAAATAAAAGCCTTAGCCAGGAAACTGCTCTGCTCCTACTTCTCAACTCGCTCCAGAGCATAGTCCTGGCTTCAACTCACTCCCAAACTAGTCACAGCGCACAATAAAGATATGTGGGGGCCAGAGTGAATAGTACAGTGGGTATAGGTGCTTGCCTTGCGTGCAACTGACCAGGGTTTGATTCCCGGCACCCCATATGGTTCCCCAAGCACTGCTAGGAGTAATTCCGGAGAGTACAGAGCCAGGAGTAATCCCTGAGCACTGCCAGTGTGTGGGACCAAAATAAACAAACAAACAACAAAGGTATGTCAAAGCAGAGCATCTGGTGGCTGGTGAATGAGGTGGCTGAATCCGTCCTCAAAGAATCCCTAGTAATTCTGGGATGAGATGTGCCCGTGGAGAGCAGAGAGAAGGGCTGGGCTGGGAAGGGCTATGAGGAGCTGGCTGAGGATGGAGGGAGGTTGGGGAAGGTGTGTCCACAAAGGACTACAAGCAGGGGGCTTATGTACACAGTCTCTGGCTCTAGAAAAGGGGGGTAGCAGGTGGCTGGGAGAAGAGAGAGATGGGGAGAACACTGACTTGACAAGTGAAAATGGATCAAGTGCAGCCTGAGCCATAGCACAGTGGGTAGGACATCTGCCTTGCACGCAGCCAACCTGGGTTCATTCCCCAGCATCCCATATGGTCATCCTGAGCCCCACCAGGAGGAACCCCTGAGTACTGCTGGGTGTTATCCAGAAAGCCAAGTAATTGAGAGAAAGAAAAAAAAAAGGATCCAGACCAGACATGTTAGCACTGGGAAAGAAAGGGAAGTAATGGCATCCAAAGACATTTAGAGGAAGTTGCCTGACATCAGTGACAGGACAAGTCCTCAATGACCTCCACACTATGTGGCACTGGACAGTGAGTGGACACTGGCTGGGATGAGCAGGCTGGGATGCCAGGACACCACTCTCACTAGGGTGCCTTAGGGGAATCTGGAAAGAGACAACCACCAGGCTCTAGAAGTCAGGCAAATGGGAGTGGTGTGGACCCTGGCCGAGGGGGAAAGTCAGGCCTTTTCTCCGACCGCTGCCTGGGGCGGGGCTGGGGGCAGTCCACAGGATAGCCAATAGAGTGACTCCACTCAAGTTTGCAAAAAGAAATTGCAAAAAAAAAAAAAAAGAGAAATTCAGATTTTCACATGAAATACTTTCTTTAAAAGATGTAAGCACCAAACTCAATTTATTTTTACTGTAGCAGAACAGATCCAGAAGGTAAATCTTACCATTTTGCCCCCTTTTGAAATGTGTCATTTGTGGTACTAAGTACGTTGACATCACTGTGAAAGCACCTCCAGGACTTCCCCTCTTCCCATACAGAAACTACACCCTCAACCACACACGCGGGTCTGTGTCCCCTCTTCCCCAGCCCAGCCCTGGGCATCCATAATCTATCATGCTTCTATGACCCCGATGCATCCAGAGACCACCTGAAGTGGCACTGGACAACTGGTTCTGGGCCTGTCTCATTTCACTGAACACATATAATGTCCTCAAGGTTCGGCTCAGCATGTGATGAAATTTCCTTCAAAATGTGACAGGGTGCTTTGCAACTGAAACAAAACCCATCTCTGGAACACAGGTTCCTCTTCTGAGAGGTCGGAACGATAGTACAGCACGTAGAGTGTTTGCTTTGCATGTGGTTGATTCGGGTTTGATCCCTGGTGTCCCAAATGGTTCCCTGGGCCTGCCAGGAGAGATTCCTGAGTACAGAGCCAGGAATAAGCTTGAAGTACCACCGAGTGTGGCCCGGAAACAAAAACCAAAAACCAAGTTCCTATTCTGAGTCATAGCAAGAAAGGGGCCTCCCCAGGAAAGCAACCATTCTTTCGGTGTTTTGGGCGAGAGGGTGGGATGGGTAATCGGTAAGACAACAACATGCCAGTAACTCACGGGCCACACTAGAACTCCCGTGATTACCCAGCTGCCTACAGTCCAGGAATGTCACGGGCACAGCACTCATCGCTGGGACCAAGCCAGCAAGTTCAGCAATAGGCACTAGAGGCTCTAGTGCCAGCCTCTGTTCAGCCACTAACTGGGCTCAGACACAGCTGCCACTGAGGTCACATCCTCATAGTTTGTCTTTCTGAGTGACAAACATACAGACATGACCGGGAACAAGCAGACAGTTCTGCAGTTGCCCCTCAGAGGTCTGGAGAGGTGCTTACAGAAAAAACAACAGCAGGCTGGGGACAGGAGACAGGGCTCAGTGGGGGAGCACTTAGTGCGAGGTCCTGTGTTTGATCCCCGGCACCACTTGAAACGGACACAGGAGAGGAGTTGCCCACACCCCGTAAAGGAAGAAAGCGGGATGAAATGTACAAAGTGCAAAGGTCAAAGGCCAATGTTTGGCATGGACACCAATGCCTGAGTAGAGCACACACAGGGTTCAATCTCATCAAAGCATCCAACAGTTCACACTGAACCCAACAGAAACCAAAACCCATCCTCCCTGGGGACATCAGTGGCAGGAAATGTACAATGGTGAAGGGTTGGGTATTGCACATTGTATGACTGAAACTCAATCATGAACATATATGTAACTGTGTGATTGTCTCATGGTGCTTCAATTTTTTAAAAAATTTAAAAAAAAAAACAACCATCTTCCTATAATTCCCACTCTAGGTACTAAGTTCCAACTCCTGATCTCCCCACCAGACTTCAGAGGTTTCTGATACCTGCTTCTGATCTGTTACTGCCCCAAGCTCTTCTAACCGAAAGGTCATTTTTCCCATTTGCCTCTGGCACACCTCCATCCTGTCCAAGCCTTTGGGATGCTACCTGGGCCACACTCTCACCTTCATTCTTGACTTTCACACTCAACACAGGCTATCTTAGCCAGAGGTCAGTGAAGTGTCCTTGAGGTCACCTCATGGCTTTCCTAGGTCATTCTCCTGTCACACATTCACCAGCGCCCATGATATATCTCTACACAGTCATCAAAGAGCCTGGCTAATCGAACCTAGAATTTGGCACCGCCTTTGGTGGTAAAATTTGGCACTGGTCATCAGTTTGGACACTAACCCTGGTTGGAAAAGAAAACCCAAGCTCTAGACTAGGGGGTCTCAGACCCTTGCTGGTCCCACAGGTAATGGAAAGGCCAAGAACCACAGATCTACCAATGTGGTCATAACTGCTGGTCCATGGCCCCGAATGCAGCCCTGGTGCGACATGGTGACATAGGTCTCTGCCCACAAATACCACCCAGAATACTGTAATCCTGAACTCTCTGTGGGTCATTTGTGGGTCACTCTCCCACGGGGACAGGGAAAGGAAATACCTCTCCCTTCTCCAACTTCCAAGGAAGTAAGGCGCTTTTAGAAGAGCCTCAGCATCAAAGTACATCAAGTACTTTGGTTGGCAAAAACAAACAAAACCCAGAAAAGCAGAGTAGTCTGCCGCAGTAAGGGAAAGGGCAGAAAATAAACACCCACAAACTTGGCACTGCCTAGTTCTGAGTTCTGTGACAGAGGTCCCAAACTTACTTGACCTTTGCAGAAGAAAAAAATTATTCAGTGTGCCCAGAAAACCTACCTGTAAGGGGGCAGGAAGAAAGCACCCTTTCTTCCCCGCATTTGCACCCAAGGTCATTGCCACGCTTTGGATGGACTCAGAGTCCCCCAGAGGGCGACACTGCTCACTCTGGGAACCACTTCCAAGACCTACCACCATTTGCTCTTCTGAAAAATAATTTCTTGGTCCTTGGAGATGCTAGCTGGAGTCCCCAGCTTGACCCTCAGCGCCTCTTGGGCCCCTGAGCACCATCAGGAATAGTCCTGAGGTACCTCCTGGTACGTCCCAGAAAACAAGCAAAAATGAAATTTCCCAAACCCTTTCTTCTCGCCAGATGCAAATTTCCCCATCTCTGGGAATGCTAATGGTGCACTTCCATCTAGCTGGTCTTTTCCTTCCAAGCACGCATCACTCCCACGGCCTGGTGACACTCACCAGCTCTCCACTCCTGTCCTCTGGCCCGTCCTGGGTGCTCTGGGCTGTGTGCTTTGTTCAGGCAGCTGCCCGCAGGCCCTGGGAGCCAAGCAGAGAGCTCTTCCCCTTCGTCATCTGCCTCCCTCTCTTCCCTCTCCTGCTTTCCCACAGCACCTCCCTCCTCCCCTCTGCAGCTCAGCCACTGGAGCAGAGACACTCCGGGGTCTAGAGAAGGGTCACAGATCAATGCTTTTCCACGCAAATGCAGGAGATGAAAAGGCATGTTCTTTTTCTCAAAGCCATCCATGGAGCCTACTGCTTTCTTTCTTCGAGATGCCAACTTTTCCCTTGAAAACGCAAAAGTCCATCACCCCAGCTATGCTCAAGGATCTTGTTTCCTGCCCAAGACTGGGATTTTTTTCAGCAGTTACACGGTTAACAACGGACTGGGGGTGGGGGGTTAGGGGTGTATGACTGTCTTTTCCCAATGGCTGGTCTGAGGGTACAGTCCCACACCCCCACCCTGACCAGCCACAGGCCAACACCTTCTGCTTCAAGGACTATCTTGCAGAAAGGTGAGACAAGCTGTTTCCTCCTTACGTGAGTTCTTCCATGTGTACTCCCCCACCACTGTCCCCACTCAGCCCCCCCAGAGCCCTGAGCCGCTCCGTGCACTCAGCCAGCGGCAGTTCTAAGGATCCCCCCCCCCACCACACACACACACACACACACACACACACACACACACACACACACACACACACGAAAGGCAAGGTCAGAAGCCTCGTGCTGGCGCAGTCGGGGTTTGAGTCCCTGATGGTCTCTGTCCAAACACTCAGGCTGCTGATAAGAAACAGGCGCTCAGAAGCAAGGCAAAGGCAAGGCTGGTCTCCAAGCCTGCCCAGAGGCCTGGCCCCTTCCGGACTGGAGACAGAGACCCGGGCATCTCTATGGCATGCAGAGGGAAAGTGGCGTCGAGCTGTCTGCAGTGGGGCCCAGCACTGGGTAAGATAACATCTCCAGCTTCCCCCGGCCTTCCCCAGGCCTGACCCACGGGGACGGCAGGAGCCCTACACGGTGACTAGAGTGGTTCCCAGGGCAGGCCACCGAGATTGGCACGTAAACAAGATGAGGACGGGGCTGGAGCCATAGCACAGTGGGTAGGGTGTTTGTCTTGCACACGGCTGAGCCGGGTTCTAACCCTGACATCCCATATGGTCCCCTGAGCACCTCCAGGAGTAATTCCTGAGTGCATGAACCAGGAGTAACCCCTGTACATCGCCGGGCGTGACCCCCCCCCCAAAAAAAAACAACAAGACGAGGACAGATAACAGTGGAGGCAGATGAGTCTAAGTAAGTACTAGCTATGGGTGGCCACAGCATCCCGGGCAGTCAACACAGGGGTCTCCTCCGAGGCGGGGTCTGGGGGATGTGGGGAGATTGGCAGATACTGAGGAATACTTACCCACTTCGCAATGGGGCAGCCCCGTGAGCTCTTCCCCTCCTTCCCGGTGTAGATGACCTTCTCGATCCGGATGGCTTTTCCCTTCTCTCCATACCTGGAGATGGAGAAAGAAGGAGACCTTAGCCCAGGGGAAGCCTCAAGGAGAACAACTGGCAGGAAAAAGCCAATCCAGGGATGCTTAGTTTTGAGTTACTATGAGTGGAACAGAAAGGGCAGAGGGAAGGAAGGCTGCCTATTTTAGCTGGTGCTCAGAGTCCCTGGAGATACAGCGGTCACGTGCTAGTTTCCAGGCTCTCTGTGCCCCGTCTGCATCACCTCTGTTCCGGGGCAGAGGTGAGGTCAAGCAGAGTCGTCCCTGGTCCTCCCATCTACCGTTCAGGAAGTGGCTTCAACCAGAGGCTAGGGCAAGCACTTTATGTGCTGTCCTGCCACTGAGTAGCCCTCAGAGCTGGTTATTTATAAATTCAATAAACAAAAGAAATTAAGTGGGGGAAGCCCTTATTGTTCTCTTTCAACAATCCCCAGCTGACATTTGAACACAATCGGGACAAAGGCTGGCTCCCAGATTCCCGGGGAGTAAACACAACAGCACCCACACGCCAAATGCGCTCCAGCCCTGACCCACACACGCGTGCCGCCGTGTGGGGATTCTGAGACCCTCTACTCGCTGTGTCACCACCCCAAGGTGAGCGGTATTCCCCACAGTAGCTTCTGTGCAAACAGCCCGGGTTTGAGAAGCTGCCCGGCTACTTTCTCACTCCCAGACTTCTCTGAGCCCTAGTCTCCTCATCGTGGAGAGAGAAAATGGTTCCTACCTCCTGGACCTGGAAAAAGATCAAATGAGATAATCCACTGGGAGTGCATGATTTAAAGTGCTTTGAAGTTCCTGGCATGAAGGAGGAACCTAGTAATTATTCCTAATAACGTACATAGTCATCCGACGGAATTATTTTTAATAGCACAGAACCGTCTCATCTGCAAATCCTGACCCCTGGCCACTCCACTGGTAGCAGGCTCCATCCAGCTCTGCCCTGGCCGGTGCTGCCACAGTCCTGCAGGACCCTTCTCCTACCCTCTGACTTAACTGGAATCTGTCCAGCTGCTCATCACTGAGCATGAAACTCGCTGGCTTTGTGATCGATGCGGCAACTTCCTGATTGGAAGGGTTTTTCTAAGGAGCTCCTGTTCTAAGGACGCTTAAAAAAAAATTTTTTTTTAATGATTCTATTTTTCAAATACGTTTTTAGCATCAAAGGAGAGAGATGAATTACTGAATGGTTTTCCCCCTTGGCTCAATTATCATGGTATGCTTGCTTAACAGACTGTCAAACTATCTTTGTAGTTTTTAAATGAATCCAATTTGATCGTGGCATATTATTTTAACATAATGCTTAACTGAGAGTCATGTTATCCTACTTTTTGCAATTGCACAGGTTATCTCATTCACTCTACTTCGAGAAATTTCCACCTCAGAAATATACCAAGATTTAGTAACAAGAGAGTCATTGTTGCATTAACAAAAAGTTAGAAAAAATATCCAGGGACTGGAGCAATAGTACAGCACGTAGGGTGCTTGCTTTGCATGTGCCAGACCCAGACTCAATCTCTAGTATCCCATATCGTCTCCTGAGCTAGGAGTAATTACTAGGAGTAGTAACTAGTAACTAGAAGTAATTCTTGACCATACGGCCAGGAGTAATCCCTGAGCACACTGGGTATGGACCAAAAAATCAGAAAAAAAAAAAAAATAGCCTTAAATATCCAGTGCAGACAGGCTAAATACAGTGAATTTTCATATAAAACCATGTATTCATTAAAAAGGTGTTGGCAGGGCCTGCAGAGATAGCTCAAGGGCTGAAACCCACCCACTGCAGACAGAAGGTTTCATCTCTTGTGGGGATGGCCTTGCTGCTGGGTGAGACAGCTAACTAAGCTCCAAGCCAGGAGCAGCCCTTGACCACTGCTGGATGTGTCCCCCAAATAAAAGTATTTTAAAATTTAGAACAAGTTTTTTCTTTTTTTGGGGGGGGGTGTCACACCTGGTAATGCACAGGGGTTACTCCTGGTTCTGCACTCAGGAGTTACTTCTGGCTGTATTCAGGGGACCATATGGGATGCTGGGAATCGAACCCAGGTCGTCCACGCGCAAGACAAATGCCCTACCCGCTGTGCTATCTCTCCAGTCCCTGGAAAGTTTTTAAAAGATTTGATAGAAGATTATGTACCAACACGGTGGGTTTATGGCTAATGCCATCTAGCATGCATATTCCTTTATATGCATATGCATCTCTTTTTAAATGGGGGGTGGGGGATAAAAGGCAAGCATCAAACTTAAAAATGTTTCTTTTGGGGAGAATGACTGCTGGAGAGTCTTTTTTACTCACGCTCGTCTTTTGTAAAAGTTTTTTTAGGAGGTGGGTTTTGTTTCTGTTTTTGTTTTATAGATGTCTTATTTTTGTTAGGAGAAAAAAAATAGTATTTTTGAAATGCTGAGCTAAGGTTCTGTTGAGTGCAGTGTTCTCTCTTTCACTAGAAGGGAAGGGGAGGGAAGGGGCGAACTATCTGATAACTATTCAAATTCAAAGGCTGCATAGCAGCTTCCAGAATGCACCTAAGACTCGGAAGAGTTGGGAGTTGGTGCAGCATGAACTGGTGCAAGACGCAGACACCAGATAATGCTGCTTCTGGTTTTGCTCCTGGAAAACTTTCAATTCAACCGACAGCAGCAGGAAGTGAGCTGCCAATGTGGGCCTGGCTCTCAGTCGCTGTGCAAAGGCCTGGCTGCGGTGACCACATAGCTCTCACCCAGAAGGACAGGATATCATGTGATCCACAGCAGGGTGAGCTGAGGACACGGAGGCTTTCCAACCAGAACTGTTCCCCACCATCCTACCATTTAGAGAAAAGCTTCCTGCAAGTGAAGTTCCTACCTGAAAGCAAATAAAAGGGCAAACCCAGCACAGTCTCATGGGCTAGAACGTCTCTCTGTGTTAAAGACATCCAACCAACCACGAACTGAGCTCTTTTTTCTTTCTTTTTTCTTTTTTTGCTTGAGGGCCACACCCGGTGGTGCTCAGGGCTTACTTCTGGCTCTGAGCTCAGGAATTACTCCTGCCGGGGTTCAGGGAACTATAAGGGGTGCGCCAGGAATGGAATCTGGGTCGGCTATGTGCAAGGTAAGTGCCCTACTGCTATACTATCTCTCTAGCCCTTCTTTTTTTTTTTTTAAATTTAATGTCTTACTTCCTGGTGTTTCATGAAGGAACCCTTCTGGTACATAGTTAAAGTCATAGACTCTAAACTAAGCCTGCCAGGAGAGGCTAGAACTTTAATCTAACCTCAGGACTCTATCACCAGGGAACATGGGCAGGATCAGAGTCGTGGGGGTACCGGGTCAGATTCAATCCCTGGCACCCCATATCAGACTCATGGGCCACACCAGCAGCCGTCTAAACCATCATAAGCCCTCCGGGAGATTCACAAATTCAATGGAGTCTGAGAGTCACTGATTTATAGCTGTGCTTCCAGTCTGTACTCTATCACCAGAATGATATGACTTGCCTCAAATTTAGAATTTGCAAGCACATTCTTAGTGCTTTGTTTTGAAAAAGAAAATTTAGTGGGGTCGGGTACAGTAGGTAAGGTGTTTGCCTTGCATACAGCTGACCTGGGTTTGATCCCTTCCATACCATATAGTCCCCCAAGCATTGCCAGGAATAATTCCTGAGTAATGAGCCAAGAACAACCCCTGGACATTGCTGGATGTAGCCCCAAAAAAGAAAGAAAGAAAGAAAGAAAGAAAGAAAGAAAGAAAGAATGAAAGAGAGCATTTAAATTAACTCCTCCCTCCTGGGTAGAGAACGTGGCTCTCTATAGCCCACCGTCCACAAACAGGATTAAGCAACTGACTCAAGAATCTAAGGCAACTGGGGCTGGAGCAATAGCATAGTGGGTAGGGCATTTGCCTTGCACGAGGCCGACCTGGGTTCGATTCCCAGCATCCCATATGGTCCCCCGAGCACCACCAGGAGTGATTCCTGAGTGCAAAGCTGGGAGTAACCGCTGAGCATTGCCGGGTGTGACCCAAAAAGCAAAAAAAAAAAAAAAAAAAGAATCTAAGGCAACAAGGACCCCAGAAATCCAGGAGAGAAATGGGCATAATACATTAGGATTTGCTTTTCACCTCCCTCTCCTTCCTCCAAATCTTCCTCATTGAAGCTAAAATCCTAAAAGCACCAGCGACCTCAGTTTGCAAAGAGGCCCTCTGGAGAAGGAGAGGACAGTGGGAGTGGTCTAGGGGAAGACAAAGCTTGGGGCCCCGGCCGGTCACTAACCAGTCCAGCTGATCTTCATCACCTGTCTATTCTCTCCCTTGTTCCAGAAAAGAATGTAAAAAGATGTCTGAGGGATAAAAATAGCAGGTGATGAAATCAGAACAAACATGGGGAGAGGTGGGCATGATGGAGATCCACAGACTGCAGACTAGCAAGGCTGTGCTGCAGCTTTGGGAGAAGAACCGGGAGCATCTCTCGGTGCAGGGACACCCGGGAGCTTCTGAAGACGCCTTTAGGGCAGGGTCAGGAGGGGCCGGGGAGTAAACCCGAAGAGACTCCCACAGGCCAAAGATGGGAAATCACGTTCCTCCTAATGGGGTACACAAATCTGGCTCTGAGCTGACTGGCAGCCAGCATAAAGATGGAAACACAATCTGTTACATGATTTACAAGGTCCTTAAGATAAAAATAAACCAGTTGCTGAAGAGAAACACACAAGTATTCCTGGTCTTGGGAGGAATTCCTCCTTGGATCAGATTCTGAAGAACCTCCAGTAGCTGTTATTTTTAAAAGCAACGCGGGGGTGGAGAGGGGGCAGGAGAGGCGAGCCTCCACTTGATTACTATCTCAAATCCTTGTTTCAAAATACACTCCTCTATAATGAAAAGTTGAGGGAGCTGTCTGGATGGCTTACAAAACGGTGACCAAAAACTCATCTCGGATCAATCTGGACATCTGATTCTCCAGCAGTCCTCTGAACTTGTGTCAGGCTTCCTTTAAGAATCACCAGCCCCAGGACCCAGGAGAGGCAGCTTAGTGGCAGAGCGCCTGCCTTGCAAGCCGGAGGCCAGAGAGGCCATGGGTTCAATCGCCAGCACAGTCCCTCATCCCAGATTGAGATTCTGGAACTCTGCAGTTTGGAGCCACAAAGATGTGTGTGAAGTACCACCACCCCAAGGGTGTGTGACTCTGATCATCACAAGAAAAAGAAAAGGAATAGGGGGGAAAAATTTAAAGTTTTTGAAAAAACAATTGTTCAAAAAAAAAAGAAAGAGGGGCTGGAGCAATAGCACAGCGGGTAGGGCACTTGCCTTGCACGCGGCCAACCCAGGTTCGATTTCCAGAATCCCATATGGTCCCCTGAGCACCGCCAGGGGTGATTCCTGAGTGCAGAGCCAGGAGTAACCCCTGTGCATTGCTGGGTGTGACCCAAAAAGAAAAAAAAAAAGTTGGGGCCAGAGCCAACTAGTACAGTGGGTAGGGTATTTGCCTTGTACACTGTCATGGGATCCCATGTTTGATCCCCGGCATCCCATACGGTCCCCCAAGCACCACCAGGAATAATTCCTGAGTACAGAGCCAGGAGTAACCTCTAGGCAACAGCAGGTATGACAGAAAAAAAATCACCAGTATTTCTATTATTATTATTGGAAAACAATATTCCAATCATAGCTTGATACCACCACTCACATGCACATGCACAAACACACAAACACTCAAAGCAGGAGTGGGCACATGCAGCCCTCACCAAAGCACACATATATTGCACATATGCCACTGACACCTCCTCACAGGCTCATAGGCACTCATTCATTTCTAGAAGGCTTCCATTTATAGGCTGCATGCAACGCTGTTGGAGACGAGTTACTTAGAATGTCTGTATCTCCAGTGACGTTAACAGGGTCAGAGGAGCAGTTTAAGAAGGTCCCTGACCTCCACCATCTTAGCCTTTATTCACTCCGGCATGTTGATACTCATGTTCAAACCCATGTGCCATGTTATATTTAGTAACAACTGTTTAGGCTCCACTGTTCAGAAAAGATCTGGTTCCCAAGTTTGTGGACATTTTAAGGGGTGCCATATTCCATGCATCTGTATATGTTTAAGCAAACCTGTGTTTATGTCTACATGATATTTACCTTTTTGTTTTGTTGGAGGACATACGCATCTGTGCTCAGGGTTTACTACTGGCTCTGCACTCAGGGTTCACTCCTGAGGGGGTTCAGGGGACCATAGGTGATGCCAGGGTTTGAACCAGGTAAGTGCCTTAACTGCTATACTACCCCTACAGCCTCTGCCATTACTATTAATATATGAAATGAATGCTTTTATGAAAATGCCATCAGTAGGTATACATACACAGATATACACTACACACACACACACACACACACACACATATCCTTTCCAAATACTGGCACTTAGAGTATTTATTAACTTTCATACCTATACTCATTTGCATACTTTAAAATACACTGAAGTTAAAAATCCTTACAAATACAAATTTCTTTAAAAGAACCAAAACAGGAGCCAGAGAGACGATGTAATGAGCACATGCTTTGTATGTGGGAGACCCAGGTTCCATCCCCTGCACCATACGGTTCCCCAGGCAATGCCAGGAGTGACCCCTCCCACCCCACACACACCTGGGAGCACCTCCCAAGTACTGCTCAGTGTGGCCCAAAATTTTTTAAAAATAATTAAAGAATAAAAATTGTGGGGCCCTGGATGTGACTTAGTGGTAGAGCACATACTTTGCATGTGTGAGGTCTTAAGTTGGATCCCTATTGTCAAATAACCATCACCACCTAGAGTCTGAATTTTTGATGTACTGAGACACTAAACACTAACAAATTCAAAATCCCCAGATTCCTTGAAATGGCCTAGAAATAATAAAAATCCCTAGAACCCAGAATCTATTTTCTAAATGTTTCCCTCCATTTAATAAAGAGAAATCAGGACTTCTTGAGTAAATGCAGCATATAAGCCCAAACATCTGCCATACAAAACCAAAAAAAAAAAACAATGGATTTGTAGGATCATATTCGAAGAACTCAGGAGAGACCTGAATAGTGGCTGATAGGCCAAAGAAGAGACATTCCATTCCTCCAAGTGGAGGAACAAAACACCACCTGTGGTTTTGAAAGAAAGGAAAAAACAATCTGACTCCGACACACCTTTAGAGCTAATTGCTAGTTTGTCATATGTTAGAGTAGGTGGAACACGTTCAACAAAACCATAAAAAAAAAAATCTAGCAGCAAAATTCAGATTGTGGGAAACTCTATAGCACAAATAATCACTCAACACATTTTTCAATAAAACATATTTCAAGAGAGAAAGAATGGGGAGGGAAAATATAAAGGATGGACCTATAAATGGGAAAAAACCCAATGCTGGAAGCATAAGAACCCTCCTTCAATTGTACACTATCTCGTATGTGCCAGGCTTTCCTTTCTATAGGTTGTTCAGTAGGAGACAATACGAATGAGCAATCTTAGCTATATTCCACTAACGATTTGCCCATTTGCCCTGGAACATCTCAGCATCACTCACCGCTCTTCCATGAGTTCCCGGATGGAGGCAACTGTGGGTCCAGATCCCAGGTGAGTATAATATGGGCCTTCATCTTTTTCCACTATTTGTTCTGTAGGAATACAGAAGAAACATTATGTGGAGATGTCAATTTCCTAAAAGGTGGACCACCACAACAAAGCAATAATAGACATTATGAACTAGAAAGTCCAAATAGTTTGTAAATATGTAAAAATGTGCTCAAGTCCATAAGAATCCAGGAAATAGAAGCAAATACAATGAAATAGCATTACACACAGATTAGAGAAATCTGATAAAACCCAGTATTGTCAAGACTGGTCTTATCACTTTGGGATTTAAGTTTACAGTTATCCATATTCTAGGTGTACATATCCCAAGGAACTGAGTGCCAGGACACGGACAATGTCCAGTGTCCAAGCAGCAAAATCACAAGCGCCAAATGGTGAGAACAATGCAAGTATCCATTCCATAAAAAGATAAACAGAATAGGGCAGGTGTAAATTACTTTCCACCCTTTATACTGCACAGTCCTCCCGTTGCTCATTGATTTGCTTGGGTGGGCCCAGTAACATCTCCATTGTGAGACTTCTTGCTCCTGTGTTTGGCATATCGAATATGTCACGGGTAGCTTGCCAGGCTTTGCCGTACGGGTGAGATACTCTCAGTAGCTTGCCGGGCTCCCTGTCCACCCTTTACAATTACAAAAGAATTGCTTCCATGAGGATCTTTTAAATACCACACCATTTTCAAAACACATACAATTTACTCTTGTCCTGAAAATAAATGTACTTACTTAAAAAAAAAATCAGACATGACTAGTCCCTAAAAAATACTAATTGAGATTTTATTATAGTTTCTTTTTCTCCCAGTGCATCCTAGTACATAGCCTGCTTGCTTTCATTTTGGGTTTTGTTATTTTTTTCATGCCATACCCAGCTGTGTTCAAGACTAACTCCTGGCTCTGTGCTCAGGGATCACTCCTGGTGGGGCTTGGAGGACCATATGGGTTGCCGGGGATCAAATATGCACTGGCTGTGTGCAAGACAAGTGCCCTAACTGCTGTCTTATCTCTCCGGCCCTTTTTATTTCCTTTCCTTTTTATTTTTTTTATAATAGTACTACAGTACAATATGACTGACTGTTCTGTATGTGTTGTTCTGCTATACCAGACTACCAGTCACCTCCCCGCACCATTATCCCAGGTCCTCCCTATCCCTAGCATCCCTAGATCACAGTTTTGTTAATTATCTCGGGCATAGTCTCTTTTATTTTTTTTTAATTTATTTATTTTTTTGCTTTTTGGGTCACACCCGGCGATGCTCAGGGGTTACTCCTGGCTCATGCACTCAGGAATTGCTCCTGGCGGTGCTCAGGGGACCATATGGGATGCTGGGAATTGAACCTGTGTTGGCCATGTTGGCTGCGTGCAAGGCAAACGCCCTACCCACTGTGCTATTGCTCCAGCCCCCGGGCATAGTCTCTTTTAAATCCAATGCCCTGCTCTGCTTTCTGAAGACCCAAAGACTCCTATGAAACTTTGCACACTGTACCATTATACTACATAAAAAACCTGTTATCAATATAGTAAGTGTAATACATATATGCATATTGTGTATATAACATAATACACGCTATATAATATATAACATAATACAAAATATAGAATTATACATAAAATATAGAAGAATTCACGGTAAGAGTGGATTTGAGGCTGGAAGGAGTGGGAACTGGGGAACTATGGCTTAAGGGCTACAGAATTTCCACCAAGGGTGGTGAAAAAAGATGTCAAAGTAGAAGTGATGGTTGCAAAATACTGTGAGTGTAATTAATGCCACAAAACAGCACTCTTAAAATGGAAAATTTTCTGCTATATTTATACACTATTTTTTTTTGAGAAAAGAATTGCTTTTTCTAAAAATAAAAATGCTAAGGAAAAAAGTCTGTCACAGAAGAAAATATTTTGTCTGATTTCATTTATATGAAAGACCCAGAAAGGACTAACCACAAAAATGGAAACGTAGACAGACAGGTGATTCCCTGAGGCTGGGAGGAGGGGGAGTAAAGACCAACTGCTTACTTGGGTGCAGGTTTGATTTTGGGGTAATGAAATTCATAAGGAAACAAAGTAAATTAGAGGTGATCAGGAACTGGGAGGAGCAGGGAACAGGGGGTCCTTGCTTAAGGGATACAGAATTTCTGTCTTGGATAGAAAATTCTGGAACCAGAGGTGGTGGCTGCATGACACTGAATGGGCTACCCCATCTCTGGCGTGCTCATTTCACAGCAGTTAACTTTATGTCATTCCTTTTTTAAAAAAAGGAACAAACTTTCATTCACATGGATTAATTTTGTTTTTATTTTTTTTGCGTTTTGGATCATACCAAGCGATGCACAGGGGTTACTCCTGGCTCTGCACTCAGAAATTACCCCTGGCAGTGCTCAGGGGACCTTATGGGATACTGGGAATTGAACCCGGGTCAGCCACATGCAAGGCAAATGCCCTACCTGCTGTGTTATTGCTCCTGCCCCACATGGATTGATTTTAAATGATTTTTCCTAAGGAAAATAAAGACCCCAAAGAATTTTGTACTAGTCACTTGGAAAACAGTGTTTGATCAGATATTATAAGGCCAAATGAAAGCACTTTAGGTAAAGTACTACAAAACCATGGGCACATTTGTTTCAAGTATGAGACAGTGTGGTTTGGGGTCCAACAACAACATTAGCAATCACTGTCACTGTCCTCCCGTTGTTCATCAATTTGCTACAGCGGGCCCAGTAACGTCTCCATTGTGACAACTGTTACTGTGTTTGGCATATCGAATATGCCACGGGTAGCTTGCCAGGCTTTGCTGTGCAGGCAAGATATTCTTGGTAGCTTACTGGGCTCTCCGAGAGGGGCGGAGGATTCCAACTCGGGTTGGCCACGTTGGCCGCTTGCAAGGCAAATGCCCTACCCACTGTGCTACCGCTCCAGCCCAACATTAGCAATAAATTTAATAAATCTGTTTAATAGTATTATATATCAACATTAATTTCTTAGTTTTAAATTACCATAATTATGGAAGGCATATGCTTTTTTTTTTTCAAAAAAATACTGAGTTACAAAAGCTCCACCATTTTGTTTGATGTATTTTGATAGATTCTTACAGAATTTAGTAAACTCAGAGCATATATCATAAGCTGAATTTTTAACAAAAATTTTGCATTTTGGGGGGGTATAAATTTTATTTTTTTTTAAAGACCTAAGGTTAGGTAATAAATACACAAAACAATATGCTTGGGTGTGTGCTTTTCCACATAGGTATGTCCCCGAAATATGGTGGTGGGAAGGTGTAATTGTGGTGGGATTGGTGTTTGAATATTAAATGTAATAAAATATTGTGAACTACTTTATAAAATAAAAACATTATTAAAAATATGTGTCTAAAACACTTTCAACACTTCAAGACTAAGTATAAGGCATATACTTGAGGGGAAGCTGAGTAACAGGTATACAAAAAGTCAGTACAAACTTGGGAACTCTTCTATCAATGTAAAGTTATTTCAAAACATCACTTTTTTTTTCCTGGACCAGTGGTGCTCAGAACTAACTCCTAGCTCTGTGCTCAGGAATCACACCCAAGGGACTCAGAGAACTGTATCAGGTGCTAGGGACTGAACCTGGGTTGGCTACAAGTAAGACAAGACAATACCCACTATACTATCACTCCAAAAATCAACTTTTTTTTTTCTGAAAAAGAGGGGCAGAGAGATAGTATTGTGGGGAAAGGCTTGCTTTACCCATGGCTAAGCCAGGTTTGATCCTCAGCACCCCATACAGTCCCCTGATCCCAGGAGTGATCCCTGAGCACAGAGCCAGGAGAAGTCCTGAGCACCACCAGGTGTGGCCCAACAACCACCACCAAATAAAGAAAGACAAACAATACGCCCAAAACAAGCAGTGGGGTCCTAGTTTCTTTTCTTGCTGGAGAAAAATCTTGATCATTTATGTCAAAACACACACATAGGATTTGTATAACAAATCTTTGCAATAGTCAAAACCAGAAACCCATAAGTTAGGAACAGTAAATGAATGTATAAAACCTAAGTCAGAGGACCTATTCAGGAGAACTAACAACCTGCAAAAATTCCCTTGCACCAGTCTGTCCCTGGCACCTCCGTCCCACGATCCTTCCCTCCCACCGTTCCCCCGTTGCTTACGGGATTGACAACTATGGTTTTGGAGGATGCTGTTACTTGCCAAGCACCACCCAGGTGGTTGAGACTCTCCATCTATGTTCCCATGTGACTTCCAGTCAACCTATTCATTCCCTCTCCACCCCATTCCCCCAAACCTGGCACTCTCGGGACTGAACTCCATTATCAAAGGCTTAGTATCAATTGATATTGTTCATACCCTTGATTTATTTCTCTCTGTACCATAGACCAGTGAGATCATCCTGCATCTGTTCTTCTGCCTCTGGCTTCATTTGCTCACTGTGATATCCTCTAATCCCATCCAAGTTGCCAGAGATTGCATGACTTTATTTTTTGTTGGGGCTACAGAACACTCAGTGTATATATCAAAACTTCTTTATCCACTATCTGTTGTTGGACATCTGAGATTTTTGTTTTTTTAAACAAAGGTTCAGAAAGATGCACGCAGCCCAGATGAATGGATGAAAGGTGCCGACTTATAGAGCTCTTCCCTCCCACTTCAGGCACTTGCCTGAACTTTTGTCATCACCTCCTGACTGCTCTCAGCTCACCCCTGGGACACCCTCCCGGACCACAGACTTTGCTCAAGATACTGCTGCGGCTGATTCCATCTGGGGCGGCCGACTGGGTCCACAACGCTCGCAGGCGCTGGAGTCACCTGTACATGCACATTCCCTGCTTTGCATCTTGTGGCATACACAGAGATGCCTGCTACAACACTTCTGTGCACACTGCACGTCTGTAAATAAGTTTCCTTATGGAGCAACAGTGCCCTCCTTCAGCTCTTGCCTTGAAATTTTGATCTCTTTTGGTGGTGGAAGTGGTGGAAGTGGTTTCTGGGCCAAACCTGGCTGTGTTCAGGTCTTATTCTCAGCAGTTGTCTGGGGACCA